GGGAGACAGCCYCATACGGTTAAAAACTGGACATTGGCCTCTATTGATGGCAAACAAAGAGTTCTGTCTGGGTTTGCTCCATCTTTCATCAGGCTCATCATCACCATCAACTAAAGCATCTGCTTGTCTTTCATCAAGTTTTTTCATYCAGTTCCAGAAGGGAATAATTCCCTGACTTAATGTGTTATAGTGTCTTTTTGCACTACTAGATTTTTCCTTTCACAGTAGGCCATAGACAGGGATGATGACAGCAACGAGTTTACTATGGTTGAAATTCAAGCTTGGAGCTGTTCTGAATCTTATCTTTAATGATGCAGTGATGAAGGTATTCACTCAGYTGTACTTTAACAGAGATGTTAAAAGATGAATTAAAAATGAACATTTTGAGGGACCAATTCTAGACCACTCTAAACTTTGCCTTGCACATACACCCAAAGAAACACATTGCTAACCCACCCACACATCAAGCACAACAGCAAGACAGATCCTGGAGCAGATGCACAGGTATTTAATTAAGATTGACTGCAGCTGTTACTGTTTATTATCTAGACATTGTGGAGATAAAATGCCTCAAATACACACACAAACACACACACTSAGGCAGGTCAGCCATTTGTTAAAAGGGGCCTCCCAAGGGAACATCAGTTGTGTGTATTTGAACAGTGTTTATGTGTTCACGTAAGGGTATCCTCAAACACACTATGGTTCTTTACCATGCAGAATTGCTAAAAGAGAARAAAATAATACACTTACTGTTGTATGGCAACAGTATTGTTTTTTTTTCCTTGCAGAAGCAWGATGAGTGGGAGATTACAGCTAATAGCTATGCACCTGATAAAATGAGAGGCTGTTCATGCATAATTTACGAAAACAATAGTTTGCTGAAGTTTACTTGTCTATATATTTTCTTTACACTTTCAGTMGAATCTCTTTGTCTTTAAGGGGCTGTGTCTATGCCAGATGTTAATGCTGTTCTCTGACTGCCCTGTTGYCTTTATCACTCAAGCTCACAGATGCAAAAATGGGTTGCTTTTTGCCTATCTTCCAAATAAACAAGTTTGACATTTGCAGTAGATAACACAGTTTATCAACAATTTAGCTGTATTGTCATATCTATGTCTGTAAAAGTATATACTTAAACGTTACTTCACAAGTAAAATTCTAAAATAAAAAATATTAACCTTTATTTAACCAAACAAATCCCTTTGCTTGGTTAATTAAATCACAGATCTCTTTTGCAAGGGGTATCTGGGCCTGAAGACAACCTACAGTACATGTTTTTGTTTTGTGGGGGAAACCAAACTACCTAGAGAAAACCCACGCAAGCATGAGGAGAACATGCAAACTCCACATAGAAGAACCCCAGGTCCAAGCCAAGGATCAAACCCAGGACCTCCTTGCTGTAGCAACAGTGCTCATCACTGAACTGTCATGCRTTGATTGAGATTTGATCAGTGAAATGTCAAACAACAACTTTTGGAAGTTGTATAGCCCATATTCTCCATATTTGTGCTCATTTTAATTTCAATTCAATTCATTTCAGTTTATTTGCATAGCGCCAAGTCACAACATAAGTTGTCTCAGGGCACTGTACATAAAAAAGAAAAATCTAAAGGAGAAGCAAAAAAAAAAAAGAAGAAGAAGCCAGCAGATTGTGTTAAATCACTTCTTCATAGTCTCCCATCCTGAGCAAACGGTGGAGAGGAAAAACTCCCTGCTAATCAGGAAGAAACCTCCAGCAGAACCAGGCTCAGGACAGGCGGCCATCTGCCTCGACCGGCTGGTTTGGGGGACAGGACACAGACAAACACAGAAGAACTGGTCCAGGTGCACCTATTTCTGGAAGAGAGACAAAAGAAAAACAGGTTGTTGATAGAGATAATTACAATGAACATGTAGAGAAGAGAGACTGAAGACAGCAGTAGAGTGAGGAAATGTGCTCAGTTTGTGCTCCAGCAGTCTAATGGTGCGTTC